CTACGTCATCGCTCTGGTTTGACGACAGAGAAAGGCGCGAGATAGAAATTCGGGAGCGCGGACAGCTGTTCGCGGACCGTAAAGTCTCGCTTTGGGCCTTTTTTCTTCCTCCACCGCCGCCTCCGCAACCACAACCGGACAAAAAGCAGCCGAAACCGGAGAAAGAAACGATAAATATACGCGCATGACGTGCGCAGAGAAAAAAACCGACGTCTGACCGTAAACAACAAAAAGAGGGAAATGTCCTGGTGGGCGCGCGGGTAAGATACGGATCTTTGTCCCAATAATTTGGCCCATCGTTAGAAATAGTAGTTTCACAAACTGGCTCAGGGTTAATTATCTGAATTTGCAGTTTTTAAGTTGTTTTACACCTCCAGGATGGCCGTAGTTCTTTATCTTTTCTTAATTTTTATTTTAGGAAACCGACTCGTTACTGCCGCCTTTTTCTGTTCTCGGTGCAAAGGGCTCAGCTTGTCATGTAACGCCTAAAACACAATCTGTTGACATAAATTCGCGAGTAAAGTCCTCAAACGAACTTTATCTTTGGGTTATTGAGTCAAAAATGACCGGAGAAGTCACTATTAGCCGTAAAGTAGATGCTCAGATAGCTAAATAAGGGCGGCTTGGTAGCTAGCTTCTAGCATGGAAACTGTCAGTGTGTACTTCACGTTGTGTGTGTGTGTGTGTCTGTGTGTGTGTGTGTGTGTGTGTGTGTTTTCCAGAGAGGATGCAGACGATGCCTTGCATCAAGACACAGACTCGGACGTTGCAGAGTCCAGGGACGGTGGGAAGGTGAAGGTGAAATGGACCCAGGAAGAGGTGATTGTTTGGGGTTGTCCTCTGGTTTGTGTGAATGGGAAAAGTGGTGGGAAACGTTTAAAACTTGCTTGTTTTTCCGCTATTAGGACGAAAACCTCAAGGTGCTGGTTCAAAAACTGGGGTCCAATGACTGGAAACGTATCGCCAACTGCATCCCGGTGAGTGAGACCCGCTTTTCCTGCTGGTTTTTGGCCTCGGAGACTCATTTGTTGTTGTGTTTTTCAGCACTTTGAAGGTTGTGTTGTTGTTTTTTCTGTGTAGAATCACACCGAACCTCAGTGTCAGCACCGCTGGTTTAAAGTCTTGGATCCAGAACTGGTCAAAGGCCCGTGGACCAAAGAGGAGGATGAGAAAGTAGGTGTTGTTTATCCCTGAAACTGAGCGATACGAGTGTCTCACACCTGTGGGATTTTATTGTGAAAATCCCTTCTGGCCACACACACTTTGGCCTACTGGTATTCTCACTGTTATTTTCCTTTTTCTCTTCTTCTGCATCTAACTACGTCCACAGTTTTCCGCCTATTTCAACAAATAAGGAATCAAAATGTTCAGCTCCTTCAGCACAATGCAGCTATGACTTTTGGTGTTCAAATCTTTTCAACTTTTTAAGTTATTTAACTTATATGCTTTTATTTTCTCTCATTGAAATAGTCAAAAGCATGGCTCCATCTGCTAGTCTCTGGCATCTCAGCCCCTTCAGATTCTTGTTATTTAGTACTTTACAGCCTTTCTATTGGGGTGTAGCTCAATGGTAGAGTGTTTGAGAAGTTGCTGGTTCAAATCCCATTAAAGTCTTCCACTCTTTAGTTCTTCTAACCCTTTGGCCATTCTTCTTAAACTCTTCAGTTCTATGTCTTTTCCAGCTTTTCTTTGGCTTCTTCTTCTTCCTCCATTCAGCATTTCACATTCTATTCTAGTTATTATTATGTTTTTATTCAATATGTCATTAAACTAGAACCTACCCTTTTCTTTCATTCCCCTCTCACAATGTTTCACACATCCAGTGTGTCGTTTGGTACTTAACCGTCCTTGTGAACCTCATCAAATCACAGTTCCTTGTCCAGAAGTGGGCCATTTTCTTTAACACTTGGGGGACTTGTCAATTTTTCATACTTTTGACAAAAACATCTATTAAAATGATCAGGTTTGAGGTGTGAACAAGTGAAAACCAGCGACTCTCCAGTAATAAAAACTCTCAGAAAGCCTGGATAAGTATTACTGAGATCCACCGTAAAACATTACAAGAAAAGTCTAATCCCAAGCAAAAATATAGATAAAAGCTGTGGCCATAACGTGAGACGCAGTATGATTATTATTATGTTTTTATTCAATATGTCATTAAACTAGAGCCTTCCCTTTTCTTTTATTTGTTGTTTGGTACTTAACCGCCCTTGTGAACCTCATCAAACATTCTACAGACACGTGTGGGAAATTTCATTGTTTATTTACAATTTATTTATTTATAATCTATTCATTTATTTATTTATTTATTTTTCTTTGTTGGCAATTACAAGTTGTGAAAAAAGAAAAAAAGCAGAGAAAAAAACAAAAACAACATAATCAAGAATAAAACAAAACAGAAAATTACTTTCTTTTTGTTTTTCTTCTTTTTTTTTACCTTTATTTTTCTTTGTTGGCAATTAGGTGTGGAAAAAGAAAAAAAAAGCAGAGAAAAAACAACATAATCCAAGAATAAAACAAAACAGAAAATTACTTTTTTTTTGTTTTTCTTCTTTTTTTTCCACCTTTATTTTTCTTTGTTGGCAATTACAAGGTGTGGAAAAAGAAAGAAAAAGCAGAGAAAAACAAACACAACATAGAACAAAACAAAACAGAAAATTCATTTTTTTCTTTTTTTTTTTTAACCTTTATGGTTTACCTTCTGGGTTTGACTTATTCTATTCCTTCTTACAGGTGATAGAGCTGGTGAATCTGTACGGAAACAAGCAGTGGGCGACTGTGGCCAAACACCTGAAGGGTCGGTTGGGGAAACAGTGCCGGGAGCGGTGGCACAACCATCTGAACCCCGACGTGAAGAAGTCCTCCTGGACCTCCGAGGAGGACCTGGTCATCTATAAGGCCCACCGGCTGCTGGGGAACCGCTGGGCCGAGATCGCCAAGCTGCTCCCCGGGAGGTAAAGTAGGAGAATAAGGGCGAACCCGTCCAGATTTATGTTATTTAGAATATCTGCAATATAGAAGCAGAAAGTGGAAATATCTTGGACATCTTGTTGGCTTTCCAAGAAGTCTGTAAATTGTTCCCAAACTTTTTAGAAACTTTGTAGCTTCCCATTTTAAGCAGAAAAAGTGTCCATTTTATTACTATTTTTAATTTTATTTATGACTTTTTTTAACTTTTACAACATAGAACAAACGTAGATAAAAAAATTATGTTTGGCAACATAAACAAAAAGAAAAAGAAAACAACATTAAAAAAAGAAAGGAAAAAAATAGGGAGAGAAAGGAAAAAAAACCTCTTATAATCTCTACAATACAAAATCAGAAAGTTTAAATATCTTGTCCATCTTGCTGGCTTTCCAAGAAGTCTTTAAATTGTTCCCAAACTTTGTAGCTTCCCATTTTAAGCATAAAAAGTGTCCATTTTATTATAATTTTTAATTTGATTTATTACAACAAAATAGATAAAAAATCTATGTTTGGCAACATAAACAAAAAAACGGAAAGAAATCAACATTAAAAAAAAGAAAGAAAAAAATTGTGAGAGAAAGGGGAAAGAAAACTTCTTACAATCTCTACAATACAAAATCAGAAAGTTGAAATATCTTGTAGATCTTGCTGGCTTTCCAAGAAGTCTGTAAATTGTTCCCAAACTTTGCATCTTCCCATTTTAACAACAACATAGATCAAAAATACATGTTTAGCAACATAGAAGGAAAATACTTTTTTAAAACAAAAAAACTGAAAGAAAAACAACATTGAAAGAAAGAAAGAAAGAAAACAACATTGAAAAAAAAAGAAAAAAAATTGGGAGAGAAAGGAAAAAAACCCTCTTACAATATCTGCAATATAAAATCAGAAAGTTGAAATATCTTGTACATCTTGCTGGCTTTCCAAGAAGTCTGTAAATTGTTCCCAAACTTTGTAGTTTCCCATTTTAAGCAGAGAAAGTGTCCATATTATTATTATTTTTCATAAGTTTGGTCTTGAACCAAACCTTGACAGACCATAGCTTCCCAAGAGAGCAACACAGATTTTAACTTGTAATGAGCACATATAAACCATATTTTTCTCAGTATTTGACAAGAATGAACAACTTAGGACAGACAGGAGATCTGGTGGAGCTAGTCTAGGGATTAACCCCCAATCTGGCCTATCAGAGCATGTATTAAAGTTTAAAGTTATTTATCTACTTACTTAGTTGTCAGACTCATGTTGAACAGGGATTTACTCTGATAACAACTTAATGGTTAGGACTCAGACCTGTGAGTTATAGATGCTAATGCTAATGCTAATGCTCTGATAACAACTTAATGGTTAGGACACAGACCTGTGGGTTACAGATGCTAATGCTAATGCTCGTCCTGTGCGATCGGACTTGGAAAAAAACTGGATCTGGAGCTGGAGGTTTTAAAGAAGACCTCAGTAAAAGCTGGTTAGAGCCTCAGAGGAGAGAGTCTGTTTATAGTACTGCTACTACTTTATCTGTAAAGCACTTTAAAAGCTACCTAGTTCTTACTGTTCTTATTCAGAAGAATAAGAACAGCCAGAAAAAGGTAGGAAAAACATGAAAAGTTCAATAAAAA